GTATGATGAATGCTTTTTAATAATTTTGCATTTTTTGTCTTTTTGCCTTCTCAGACAGAAGAAGACAGACAACTCCAAGAAGAACTGAACTTGATGGTGGAAAGACTGACGGTAAGTCTTCACATGTCTTGTATAATGTTACTTTATGTACATGTACAGTCTTGTTGTGCAGGACTGTGCTACGTTCACTCTGCAGTATTCTATCGGAGATGAACTACTGCTCCTCCCACCGATTAACAGGAGATTATCTCCAATGCGTTTACATGGTCGGAGCGAACGAGAGCCATATCAACCGTATTGGAGTTCTCGCCAAGGGTTTATTAGAGCCGAACTTGGCTGGAGCCAAAACACGTATACATGTACATGTTTTTGTTGGCTCCAATAAAATGCTGTCTTGTGTCATGTTCGGTGTCTCAGTATTCAATACTACTCGTATTGTTGATTTTATTCTACTCAGTGGACATTTTAAATAGTAGTTATTCTTGTCATCTATCTTGATTTTTAGTGAGTATTGCTGACCATTTTAGTTACTTACTAGAATACTAGTATATGGTGAATTGGCATGTTTGCCTTTTACCGATACTCCTCAGTGTACACTATTCAAAAAGTTACAATGCCATTGCACCATCTAATACAATACCATAACAGTGATCATACAAATTTTCATTGAAATGCATCTTTCTCCATAGGAAAGTAATGAAAAGTTGTACAAGGCAGCTCTGGAACAGTTGAGGACACAGATCCGGGCTTCCACTAGTTCTATGACCTCTGTGCCAAAACCGCTCAAGTTTCTACGACCTCACTTCGGTACTTTGAAAGAAGTCTATGAAAAGATAAAAGATGGAGAAAATAAGGTAGATACCGGTATACAAATATTACAATATGTAAACAAAATAATTTGCAAAGGTTTTTACTGTTGAATTAACATGTATTCAGATCACCTCATCATGCTGTCTGTTTTTTCTACAGAGGTTTTGTGCAGATATTGTTTCTGTCTTAGCGATGACACTGAGTGAAACCAGAGAATGTTTAAAATATCGTCTCGTAGGCTCAAAAGAATCTTTAGAATCATGGGGGCACGAGTATGTCAGGTCAGTTCCAATCACAAATTATCTTTATTATTCCTTGGAAAATAAATACTTTCAGAGATATTTCTTAGTTTTATTCGCTAGTGAAAAGATTGCAGTCTCATGTACACGTGTATTTAATGTCATTTTCCTTGAGGTTGTGTAAAATATAAGTCGTCATATCAAATTACTGAGGTACAGTGAAGTATTGTGCTTTCCTGTTCCATAATTAAAATTAAATTAATGTGAATACATTTCATTTTAATCTTTTTCAAGCGTTATATACATAACATGGTGTCATATTGAACATGACACAAAGACTGTGGCATTTTAGGCCTGTTTTATGAAATACTTTATCACCCTACACCAGTGTTCTCTCCAGAAATTTTTCATAGAGCCGCGGCTAATTTGCATAATAATTAGCATAAATTAACATATTGTTTGTCATATGGGGAAATAAAACAAAACCTTTTTTTTTCCTTTTTTTCTATTTATTTTATGTACAATCTGTATACAATTATTGCACTGCATGTTTAGTATTGCAAATGTCCTGCAGAAATACTGAGTTTTCTGTTTCTTTGCTTGGCCCAGCAATCAGCAACTTTATAAAACCCTGTTCAGTCCCGGTAAATTAAACATTGGGTTGATTATTCTCATTGCTTGTCTTCCGTTTCTGTTGTTTTCCGGTTAAGTACAACAACTGTTACGAGTCACGATACTTACGCTACTATGTTCGAGCAATAATAGTTTTTCTGGCTGAAATTATCCATCTTTATGTATTTTTTTTAATCATCGATGTTGTCTGTTCAACACAATTGTGAACAATTCGAGACAACGGAGGTCTGAATTACGAATTGTCGCCATTGTTATACCAGTACCACGTAAAATTGAGGCTTTTCTTCCAAGAAATAACACAAGTGTCACTCAAATTTCCACACGTTTCTTGATAAATATATTATTTTCAATTATGCTTCACTTAATTCATCCGAATCTGAGCACGATATGCGATCCAAGTGGGAAGTTCACGCTCGCTGGTACATCATAAATATATATTTTTTCACATTTTGATCTCAAAAAACAAATACAATATCAAAAATACTGACAAAAATCAAAACTTAGAATAATAGTACGACTACATTTCTAAAAATAATAATGAAAATGCGTTTCGTACACACCGGAAACATGTGGCTTTTGACCCCAAGTGTGACTATATCATTTGCATATGAATATACGTTTGGCAAAGAGCAATTGACACCGGGGCTTACGGCTTTGTTTTTATAGAACTGCTTTGTTTTTTTAAAACGATATCCAACGAATGAGAAACAACAGGGGATTATCCCGGGAAATTGGCGTTAATACAATGCATTTGTAGATTTAACTAGTTAGCCAGGAAACTTTACAGTCTGTGAGAGACTGAAGAAATCAGATCTCGGGATAAATAATAGCATCGCGGAGGAAACACATAGCGTCGCGGGCAAATCCGATCGCGTCACGGCCGAAGACGCTGTTTTGGCCTGGGGAGAGCACTGCCCTACACAGGCATTCAGTCGCCTTCCATATTAGAATTTATTGTTAGGAGTATGCTAGCTCCTAAGATATTTATTTTGGGGGTCAAGTCAAGAATAAGATAGCCAGGTGGCCTCGTGCAAATAAATTGTTTGCCAAAGCAACTTTTTTAGTGGCTGCAAGTCAACTTTCCACATTACAAAAAAAAGTAATATTTGTACATAAGGATTTTATTCTTATATATGATTTGAAATGTCAACAAAACATTATTTTTAAAATTGACATATTGTAATGCAATCGGTATAACTTGATGACAAACTTGTATGTATACTGCAGGGCTAACAAAAATTAGGCTCAAATTTTCACGCGATTATATTTTAGTGGATGCATGCAACTTTTCAAAGATCATGAGTGAAAGTTAACACACATGGTTGTTGGTGATAATGAAGGAATCCTTTGTTTACTGTGCAAAAACGTGAAACGCAAGCCCAAAGCACACAATGTAGATGGCAGTTCACTTGTTTCAAAATTATCTTGGAACATTTTGTCTGAAATTTTTGGACATTTCTAATTATTTGTTGTATTATGGTTGTAAAACAGTAAAATTAACAGAAAACATTTAGACGCTTTGTTTGAAATGATAGAACAAAATTAGGACATTTTGAAAAAGTAACAGCAAATTACTGATGTTCGTTTGGGCATCTGAATCGCTGCTGCATTCAAGTATGTGTTCATTTGTCTCATTAATTCTTACCTTCCATCATCGTTTTGTAGGCATCTTGCTGGTGAGATTGGCCAAGCATGGCAAGAAACTGATGAAAAGACAGAAGCAAATTACCGCGATAAACTGGTAAAGCTAGCCAATGAGATTGTGCCATATAACTTCAAACATAATGCCGAAGCAGAGGCGTGTGATCTACTGATGGAAATAGAACGCCTTGATCTTTTAGATTCTTGTGTTGATGAAAGTTCCTATCCTAGAGTATGTCTGTATCTAACCAGGTATGGTATTATGTACTTGTGTGTCTTTGTCATTATTCGCCTATAGCATATAGGAGTAGTGTCTGTAGACTATAATAAAGGCTGTATAGAGGAAACAATGACCAGAATCGTACAGCAATAATATTTTTGCTGAAAACCAGTTTAGGTTTATATTCATTTGTTAAACAGCAAACTATACTTCTCACCAGATTCTGTTTTGACTTTTTTTTATCCCTTGCTCTTTTGAATACTGTGATGTACTGTGGAATACTTTATTTTCGCTGGAATTAATTTTCGCTGAAAAGACTTTTTGGGCGTTTTGTATGGAATTTATTTTCACTGATTTTTGATGAGTTTAATGTGAAATATAGGAAAAAAAGTTTATTCGCTGGATTTTATTTTCACGGAATCATCCCTTCAGCGAAAATAGCGAAAATAAATTCCAAGCGAAAATAAAGTATTCTACAGTATATTTATATAGTCTGTTTGTTAAATGATTTCCCATTGGCAATAGCTCTAGAGCGAAAATATAAAACTAATGATGCAGTTTTATTTTGCGCTGGCTGATAAAAGTGGAATTTGATGACCAATGTTAGAGTCTGATGTTTTGCTGCAGGATAATCTTTTTATCTGTGTTGCATGGATGCTTGAATTGTTTATTGTCAAAATTGCCATTAAATCCTGAAAATCAAGTTGTACTTTAGCCGCTGTCACTATAATATACTATGTGACAGCATAGCTTTATATTTTAGCATACTCAGCTCATTTCTATACTTGACAGTTGTGTTAGCTACGTAGCTGAACCTGAGGATTCCACATTACTGAAGACTGCCTTGAGACTCTTCCGTAGATTTGATAGATACCCAGAGGCGATTCGCTTAGCAATGCAGTTGAATGACTTAGAGCTAATTGAAGAGATATTCTCATCATGTAAAGATATGTAAGTTTACTATTACTGATGAGAAGTCATGTTTTGTGTTCTTTCTATTATCTCAATAGGATTCTTGGCCATAGACTAGACTAGTTTGATCAAACTATTTCTGTGAACCGCACCAGAATATTGTTGTGAATATTCTCTTTGGCCTCCGTCAGTTAATATTGACCATAGTAGAATCCTAATTGACATCAGCCCCACAGTGTCAACTGTGGCTAAATATTCCTATACGAGAATGACAGTCTGTGTCGCATAGGGCACATCTGAAAACTGACTCAGGTCTGTTGCAGAGTTCTTTTTGCATGATCCACTTTTCTTCTGCCATGCGCATCAATCTGGTTTCTCCTGATTTTAGTTGCCTGCACAGTGTACGTTGTACAATTGTGAATAATATTATTATAAACTGGAGATCCAGTGCTCCTCTAATTTGGTTTGCTTTCTTAGAAATCCACTTGTCTCACATCATAAATGTTCATGCTATTAAAAGATTCACAATACTTGTTTACTCCCATCGTTTTTAACAGTGTCATCACTACTCTACTTTTTTACATTGCCTGTCCTAAACCTAAATTGCCTTCTCATGCACTCTTCCAAAAAGAGGAATGAATCTCTTCAAATTTTGTTATTGCTATGAGCTTATATGATAGTGTCAATGTGAAACAGTGTACTGTTAGAATTTGTTCTTGATTTCCTATAAATGGTAAATATCAATCTTTGAAATCTGTAATATTATTTTTGTTGCAGTTTGATCCAGAAACAGATGGCGTTTATGTTGGGAAGACAACAGTGTTATTTAGAATTGAATGAAGATATGGATGAGTATGATGACCTAGTAGAGATTATGTCAAATGTTCATTTAAATAGTAATTTTCTTGCTCTTGCACGTGAGGTAAGAACTTTTTTTTTAATATCTTCCACTACTCTTTTGTTCTTGCACATATCGTCTATTTTACCATTGACCTTAAAATACAACAGAATTGTGCATGATTCATATTTTATGTTAAAAATCAATGTATTTCACCCACGCATTTTGTTTGGATTTTGCCATTTTTGTCTAGTACTAGCTCTAGTAATTAAATCATTAGTCAACAAAAAAAAATACAAAAATTTGTAACGTGTTTTATTTATATTGATAAAAATCATTTTAGTCTGCCTGGTTGCATATTTAATAAATTTTGTCTTTACCATCAAGTCTTCTTCTAGAAAAAATCATGTTCCTGAATTGATCAAAGTTTTATAGCTATATATGTATTGCATTACAGTTAGATATCATGGAACCTAAAGTTCCGGAAGACATTTATAAAAGCCATCTTGAAGCAAATAGTAAGTATTGGTAGTGTCAGTTTATAATTCACAGCATTTCTCATCTTGATCTTAAATACTTTATTTACTTTATTTATTTAATATTATTATTAGTTGTGTTAATTTATTCCTTCCCTCCACTCTAAAAATATCGTCGATGCTTCCATGATGAGGACAATCTCTAAAAATTACTCGTAGTAATTTAAATTATGTATAAAAAGAATTTGAGGTTTTGATGGATATATGTTCTCAGATATAGCATCGGAATTATCTCTTATCTCTTACCATATATGCTCTATTAGTAGCACATGCACTCAGATAAATAAGGGATATATTTTTGGTCAAAATAAGTCCTATTTTAATGATCATGTCTACATGAAATGCAATTTTTGGTTCAAGTGTACTTCTATTAGAGATGTTCCTCTTAGATCATTTATCATTCTCCTGTGTTTGACACATTCACTGACAGTATTTACCTGCCAAAACTGGTTATTTGAAGGTTCAAGTGTACTTCTATTAGAGATGTTCCTCTTAGATCATTTATCATTCTCCTGTGTTTGACACATTCACTGACAGTATTTACCTGCCAAAACTGGTTATTTGAAGGTTTGCTATGTCTTTGTGACAACCAGTGAATGCTCTCACAGCCAGATTTCATATTATTAATTTAAAATCTTTTATAGGGCCGTCATTTGGACCTAGTGGTTCTCAAGTTGACTCTGCCAGACAAAATTTAGCATCCTCCTTTGTAAATGGTTTTGTCAATGCAGCTTTTGGACAAGATAAATTATTGACAGAAGATGGCAACATGTGGATTTATAAAAATAAGGAGCATGGTAAGTATCCCTGCTTTATGTGCCTTGTCGTTTGTATTGGAAATAGTTTTGCACTAATCTGTGTTTTTAATTAACCAAACATTCTGTTAACTTTCATGACAGCTGGACTGGTTACATCATTCTTTAGAATGTGATGTAATTATGTTAATGATTTAGGACTGACAACGTTTAGAAATCAGTGAGTAAAGGACAATATTCAAACAATTTAAATAGTTTTGTAGTCTGATAACTAATTTGCTCTATTTCAATGTGATTACTCACTTTAAGTTAACTAAAAATTGTAAGTGCAGTAATACAGTTCCATAGCAGTTCTATTCATACTGTCCATGGCGTTCCCACTGCAAATAGTAAAGAATGTACTCGCTATCTCATTGACATTGAGACAAAGTACAGCTACATTCAAAATGCTTTTTTCCTTTTTAAAACGAAACACTTGTGCAAATTTATTGCTCCAATGTTGAAATAGTGCCCTCAGTGCTTGGATCTGTAATTACTTTGTTTAGAAGATTAAGAAATTGGTGATTGTGATTAAGAAGCTTTTTTATGTCTGTCTCGGGTACATGTATATTTATGAACCACCATACTTAGGGGAAATTAGATGAAGCTCATCGCCTGCTAATGTTGATTTCCCAATTCAGACTCGGAGCAGGTTTAACGCCATATATTGGCACTATGGTCTTTACTTTCTTGTCTGGCATAAACAGTAATAGCCGCAGTATTTAGTTTGATGTTGTTACAAATGTTGAATCTGTGAAGTAACCAATCTCAAATATATGCATTATGAAGGGTAGGTAGTGTTTAGGGTTTTGAGTGGAAAACTTTTATTGTGAAAATAACTTACTATCTTGTATATTTATCCAGGCATGCTGAGTACTGCTGCATCGTTAGGTCTTATACTATTATGGGATGTTGATGGTGGTTTAACACAAATTGATAAATACTTGTATTCCTCTGAAGACTACATTAAGGTGAGTACTACACCGGTTTGTGTGTCATTTACAAGTGTCTGCATAGAGCAATATGTGTATACTTGTTCCAGGGTTATGGAATTCTGTGCTACACCACATTCATGTTTTACTTCCGATGGTAAACTGAACAAAATGTTAACCAGATAAACAAATTGTTAAACTTGTACACTGTTCGGCCTAGAATCAACTTCACACTCAGTATATAGTACTATGAGGTTATTATGAGGATACTTCAAAGTATGCACAAAGACAGTACAGCGGAAGTATTAACCGACGCGCAGCAGAGGTCGATGCAACAGCGTACTGTCTGATTATTATACATCTTTTCCTTCCAAGGATACATCATGGGAATGCCAAAATCCAAAAAATTTAGAACAGAATCAGAAAACTTCTTTGTGTGGAGTCCAAACAAAACCTAGTGGCAGCCATGTTTGTTTTTATTATGCTTACGCACATAATCATTCCATATTTGGAATTTGCATTTCCTTTTATGGTAGGATGAAAATACCGCAAAATTATGGCACGCTGTAACTTATGGTGTAAGGTGACAGATGTATAATAATGTTAATTATTTTGTTATGTACTTCTATCATTCCATCCTGGTGTCATTTAATATGACATATGATATTTAATAGTATACTATATTTTTATTAAATTTTCTGTTTCAGTCTGGTGCATTGCTGGCCTGTGGCATTGTGAACTCTGGAGTACGTAATGACTGTGACCCTGCCATAGCACTGCTGTCTGATTACGTCTTACACAGTAGAAATATCATGAGAATCGGAGCCATTATGGGGTATGTATCATGCTTCTAACATGATAAGCATTGCAGATTTCAATAGTGGGAGCCAAATTCTCCTAGTTCTTTTAGGCTCACAATCTATACTCTCTTGTTTTGTCTTCTATCAAGTTATTTTTTTGTCTGGGTTCCTTTATTTTTTAGACAGGCTTCTAAAGTTTTGTAGGTGCCCATCTGGCTACCAAATTTCACACATTATTATGCCCCAGTTCTGACTGATGGCTATCTTGTTTCAAAGATCCCACTTCTACAGAGCAATATCTCATACATGTTGGTGTTGATATTATGGATATTGCCTCGGTAGTCATGCCTATAATACAAAAGAGGACTGTCATTTACAATAACTTGTTTCTACCACTGTGTTCTCCACTCTGAATTGTATTTGCTTTTAGAAATACTCTTAATATTTTGGCAATCGTCCTGTTCTCATTCAATGTAACTTAAATGAAGGCAATAATTATGCAATAAAATAATTGTATGTACTTGTCTATTCTCATAGTGAATGAAAATTGTCTTTTGACCAATTTTTCGAGTGGGGTGCTCGACTAAGCGACTACCCCCACATTATTTTGTGAGCTGAATACCCTTGGCACTATTCGGAAGAGCATGATAGTTACGGCATGTATGTTCGCTTTGTCTACACAGACATTGTCTAGAAACAATTCTCCCCATGTACATGTATGCACAACTAACTTAATTAGCATAAACAGAAATGTATTTGACTACAGTACTGTGTATCTTGAATCATTCCTACAACACATTGTTGGTCATCATTGTTGATAAAGCATGTGATACATGTACTTGCATGGTAGTAATTATCTTGTTATCGTTTTGTATTCTAGGCTTGGTTTAGCATATGCTGGTTCCAATAGAGAGGATGTACTTACACTGTTGTTACCTGTCATGGCTGATAGTAAATCAACAATGGAGGTTAGTTCATTTCATTTTCTGTTCTGTTAATTGCTTTTACCACCAAATCTGGCATTCCAATCCTTATCAGATTGTTTATAGATAAAGCTTGGGACTACTCTAAGTTATTGGATTGAAGTAGCAAAATGCAGCTGTCATGAAAAGTGACCAATTCTTGTTAACAATCCTCTCCATGAGAAAAACATTTTTTCCAATCTGGTATTCAGGAAAGACTTTGATCTAAGAGGCTTCACACTCGGCATTTTTGTCGAGAGAAAGGTGTCTAATCAGATTCGACAGAATGCGCTTGACTTTTGTGTCCTCAATACATATCACATTTGCCTTGTCATAATTAGTTACAGAATGGAGGGGGAAAAAATTCATGTTAATGATGACCAGCAAGACCTCGTGCTTTGACCATATTGATGTTTCAGGTGATTGGAGTTGCTGCATTGGCATGCGGTATGATTGCTGTTGGTACATGTAATGGGGAGGTCACATCAACCATCCTACAAACAATGATGGAAAAAACTGAACTGGAATTGAAAGAGACTTTTTCCAGATACCTAGCACTGGGATTAGGTCTTGCATACCTAGGTAGGCATGTCTTGCAGTAATGTATTCCCTTTATTACAAACGCATATGAAAGAGTACCAGTTTAATACAGGAAATCTGTCAGATATTGTATTGTTTACTGATTATTTTCGATTCTACAAAGTAAACCGTGATTTTTTTTCACAATTGTTGTGTTGATTTGCTAGCATTGAAGACTTTGTAATTCTTTGTATGTTTTCATGTATAGAGGAATAAATATGTTATGACTATAATCAACACCATATATTATTTCAATAGGAAAACAAGAAGCAGCAGATGCCACATTAGCAGCATTAGCGGTTTTATCTGAACCTCTGAAAAGTATAGCTAACATACTGGTGGAGGTGTGTGCATATGCTGGTAAGTATTATGAAACTATAACCTTTTCTCCACCAGACTTCTCGCCCAAATTGTTCCGCACTTTTTGTTGTATTCTTTAAAATTTCTGAAAATGAACCCTAATTTTGGAGCCAACAGAAAAAATTTAAGTCAGTTTTTACTCAAAAAATTTAGCTATTTTTGTCACAGTCTATACTATAGACTATAAATGGAACTATTTCGTGAATTTGTGATGAAAAAAGGGGACCGAGTGGTGAAAAGGTTAATGACTCACTGGCAGCCATTTTTATCGTAGAAAGGTATCACTATTTTTGATTCAAACTTATACCATATATTCAAGATATACTGATGCTGACATTAATGTTTTCTTCATTCCACTAGGTACTGGCAACGTGTTAAAAATTCAGAAACTTTTACATCTATGCAGCGAGCACATCGACCCAAACAAAGAGAAAGAATCTAAGGAAACTGAAAAGAAAGATGAGAAATCTGACAAAGAAAAGGAAAAAGATAAGGATAAAGACAAGAAAGCTGAGGAGTCTAGTTATGATGCTGCGGCTCATCAAGGTATTGCTGTTATAGGTATAGCTTTGATCTCAATGGGAGAAGAGATTGGATCAGAAATGTCAGTCAGAACGTTTGGACATTTGGTAAGTATTCTAATAGTACATTTCAATTTTTTATAAAATGTATTTTTGATTGAAAAACGATGGAAAAACACAAATAGTTATTGCTATAAAAGGTATGTCTGAATCTGACTGAACTTTGAACAAGATTATGTCAACTACATTTCTATCACATATATGTAGGCTTATAGAGAAACAGCTTGTTGAGAAAATTCTGTAGATTTATCATATGCTGGTACTTATAGTCGCACGTCTTTTCCATTATTTGACCTCTGTCTCACATTTGTAATGTTGTAATTTCAGCTTCGGTATGGTGAGCCAGTGATACGACGTGCTGTACCATTAGCGCTTGGACTGATTTCAGTCTCTAACCCTAGACTGCAAGTATTAGACACGCTCAGTAAATTCTCGCACGACAGCGATGCTGAAGTGGCACATAATGCTATATTCTCCATGGGTATAGTGGGTGCAGGTAAGTTGTACATAATCATTTGGCACTAGTGACTAGTGATACAATTCTTATTGGCATTTTTCTCGATTTCACTAATTCAAGACTTCAGGCTTCGGGCAGATAATTCCCAGTTAGCTGTAGCCCAGTTATTCACAAGTATTCCATTAAATTTTCTTGAATGGATTACAATAGAAGAGCGTCGCCAAATTACTGATCCTGCTTATATGCAGAGACCAGTGACTTTCAAACCCATTGACATTTTATTTGCCTAAATCTCAGAAAATTTAGAGTTGTTTTTGCATATTAAAGCAACAGACTTATGGACTTTCTACATTGATGTACATGTTGATCTCATGTTGATACACAAAATCAAGTTCTTGACGTGTGTGGATCTCTGATATGATAAACTATAATGTTTTAATACTGTGTGATGTATGGTTCTTATTTTTGTTTTCAGGAACCAATAATGCTAGATTAGCAGCCATGTTGAGACAGTTAGCACAGTATCATCACAAAGATCCTAATAATTTATTTATGGTGAGGTTAGCGCAAGGTTTAACGCATCTCGGTAAAGGAACACTAACATTAAGTCCATATCACAGCGACAGACAACTACTCAGTCCAGTGGCAACGGCTGGATTACTGGCTGTTTTAATATCATTCCTTGATGTCAAAAATAGTAAGTTGTGTTGAATAGTATATTTATATTGTAAATACAGCTGTCACTGCAGCATGTATTGCGATGTTGGGCTGCTGGTTTTCTTGCCACAATGCTTGTCTATATTATGATTGGTGCTGTGGCAACAGCAGAGTGAATATTTTGTATTTGCAAACTTTTTTTTCACTAAAACACTATATTATATATTTATATCTATTTGAATTTGTAATATCCACTCAAATTATTACAGTATGGTTTCTGCTGGTTGTTGCTGCAACTGAAAATCAGTAATGAATACTTGATGTTATTATACATGAACAATAGAATTCATGCATCCGTAATGTGCCTCATGAACATGTTTGAAGGTGTAACAAACACTTTTGCACGTTTCCCTTTTTTGGTAAGCACTTGGGCAGTACGAGATTGCATCAACCTTGCTTATATGTGGGTTAGTACAATCCCTGCCTTTGTACTTGTACATGTAGTTTCTTCATGGTAGACGTGTAGTATGTATATGCATGTAAGAAATAATAAAATGTTTTTTCCTCTGCAGTTATTTTAGGTAAATCCCATTACATACTGTTCACATTAGTATCTGCAATGCAACCTAGGATGTTGGTCACCTTCGATGAACAGCTCAGACCACTTCCTGTACCTGTTCGTGTTGGTCTGGTGAGTAAGGCATTGTGTACTTGATAATATGCATGCGTATGTGGTTTTGTTGTGGACACTGAATATATCAGTAAGGTGCAGCATGGACAGGATTATATAAATTTTTACTGTTATTTACTAAGGATGTGGTTTTTCCCAGTGTGACTTGAGTGATATGAAAAAGAACTGTTTTGATGTGTGCTATGTTGGCCTATGTTACTCATGAATAGTACATTTTGATGTTTTCATTTGTACAGGCAGTGGATGTTGTAGGACAGGCAGGTAAACCTAAGACTATTACAGGATTCCAGACGTATACCACTCCCGTCTTGTTACAGTTTGGAGACAGAGCTGAACTTGCAACAGAAGAATGTATCCTTTTTTGACACAGTCAAATATTCAATCTTGTCAAAGGTTTGTTTTTGCACAAATTGTAAACAAATCAAATGAGTTCAGTACTGTGACATTCAAGTCAAGTACAGTTGTAAACAAGCTCCATCTATTTTTATGTTTTTCCCCCACCAAATTCCTGAATGTCTTGTTCTGGGCTTGCTTACTGTGGCTGCGCTTTTGTTTCATAAATCTTGCCATAATATAATAATTACAATAATACACTAATATAATATATAAAACAATAATTATATCGTCGGCTAAATGGCCGACAATACAGCGAATCATCAGGTAATTAGTACATCTGTATTGCAAGCATGGTTCAGGAAGCCAGAAGATCGTTATAAGATTTGGAGGTAACATTGCTTGCTTGCAACATAGCTGACAAGGTGTACAAAACAAATTCTACTGCCACAGTGAATCATTGATATTTCTCTCTCTCCACATTTGTATTTGTAGTATACTCCATATACACACTTGTTTAGTATATGGATGCTATTGCTAATTTAATTGTTCATTTATGAGTTGCCACCTTGCATCTGTGGAATAACCCTTGACCTTCGCCTGTATGATGTAAAAATAAGTCCTTATTAGGCGACATTTTAAATGTTTACATTTAAAGTGATATCAATAATTTTTCATTCACATTGTTGGAACAGTGCTGCTCTACATTTGAAGGCAATGCTTCAAGTGCCCCGCCCCAATCTAGTAAAACATTTTGTGATATAAGGCTTAATGGGTTGCTATCCACAACCGATTATTTATTAGTGTGTATTTTCCTTAACTCTTTGACTTTCTCAGATCTTCCTGTAACCCCTGTGATGGAAGGCTTTGTCATCTTAAAGAAGAATCCAGACTACGAAACCTAGACCGTTTTCTATTCCTAATATAATGAGTTATTTCTACAAGTTGTCTATAATTCTCTGTAAATAACAAACAAACAAAAACAATTGAGCCCCAATTTTAAAGTTTCTCTGTTTACAACAACTTGTACACGTGTTACTTTTATTGCCCTCTGAGGGAAACCCCAAAATCAGTTATATTGAAGTAAAGAACAACTGGTTTAGCTTATCATTGTATATTACTCTGGTTGAAGTTCAGTTGGCTGTACTGGCTTATCACATGTGCCAGCAGGATATAATGCTATATGTAGTGATTGTTATGTATTAACAAAACTTCTTTAGCAATAACTCTGAATCTTGTACGTGTACCTGAAGATTTAAAAACTACCTTCTAGTTGTTTGCTCTTCTGTAAACAATTACCAGTATAATTAATGGATTGCTATACCACTCTATACACTTGCATGCCGGAACTGATCTAGTCTAGATTACTGTTTTCTGTTGTTGTTTTTTGGAGGGTAAGGGGTGTAATTTTCGAAGTCAACTTATTGTTTTTTTTATGAAAAAATAATTTCTAACAAATTCTGGTGACACCTTCATGCTGTAGCAGAGAAACTTTATATCATTTTAGGAAGTTGTTACCTATATAAATTTGTTTTGTTGACAGTTTCTGTAACAGCTCAATAAACCAATTTATTTCACCAAGACTAGCACTATTTTTTGTTGTTTGTCTCCATTGTGTGAAGACAAAAGTCTTTGAGTTACCATCGATTTGTTTCTGTCCACTGATATTTCATGGCCCAGTTATCAGATTTTGATAAAATTTAATACACAGTTGCTATTCAATAGTCTGCAAAGTTGATTAGTTTCTGGTTACAAACCTTGAATATTGATTATCTAATTTGCATAATATTTTGCTATAACTTCAAGCTTTAGGTTAAATTTGTCTGGGTTTACACCTGTTATTTGTCACTAATGAGTTAATGTTGCTCCAAATTATTTGGTGCTACTGTTCCATGGACGATTGTCTAAAAATGATAAATAAACAGTGCACTGAAAATGTATGCATGGAGAAAGGGTGTAAATATTAACTTGTGACTATTTGCACTGTTTATTTATCATTTTTAGACTGGGACTTGTATTTTCACCTCAGTGCAGACATGCCTGGGCTAAAACTTTACACGTCACACATATCGAACTTGTGCACAAGTATTTGTTTCCCAATTCAATTAAAGATTGTGACCTATTTTGTGCTAAAAATCAATCATTTCGAAACCGGATCTCTGTTTTTCCAGATCGAGCTGCAAATAGCTGACTGGCGAACATTTTGTTTTAACAAATGCAATTACAGGATCATGTCTGACGTTGTATGATCACATTCAAACTTTTTACACATACATCATATCATGCACAAGTTCAGGCATTTGTTTCATGATCCAATTCAAGATGGCTGAATGGTGGCCATTTTTCTTGAAAAAATTCATCACAATTAAGCATTCTGCAGTTCTTAAAACTTGCACGTATATGAACGCATTTCATTCACATTGGGTACATAAATTGAACACGAGACCTTGATACATGTATCATTTTTTTTCTCAGATCAGATTCAAAATGGCTGACTGATGGTCAAACCGATCAGTTCGTCGACTGGGTGATCGGTTTGCTGAGCATCTACGGCAAACTAGACAGAAAAATCGTTATTATCCGGTTTCACTTCATTTTAATTCTAGTGGACATAATATTACAGATATGTCTATTTCTGGTGTATGTGTTGTCAATGGCAACGAAAATCAGCTCAGGCGTGTCGAGGAGGAAACTATATTCCGCCTTGGTACTAAAGAACCCCATGGTATTAACAAACAGTTCAACTCATTTGTTGAGCTCACTACCTAAGGCGCGTTATTTGTTCTATTGTGGAATTTTTTGTGATTCTAACTTATAGTTCATGCGCGTTCTTACGTTCCTATGTTCTACCTGTACGTTATCACACTTGCTTCTATGCTATCGATAAAGAGCCATTGCTCGAAACGTCTAGCTATTTTTAATAGTTATTTAGGACTACGATTACCAAATATTATCTTCAATATATGATAGTAAAGCCATGATTGTCTTGTAATGGCCACCATACAATTTAGCAAGAATACTAACAACTCCAACTTAATTTAGCACATTTAAATAGGTCATTGCTTTCTTCTGCAATTGCTTGAAATTGCTCCATTCATGATCGACACTTTTCTTTGGCTGGTGGCTATTTTCTTTCTTTTTTTCATGGACCCATGCCGGTTTCTTTTGAATAAAATTAGCTTTTCTGTTTAATTCTAGTACAAATATTAAATATTAATAAATACATTGTAAACTGAGAGCTGTTTTCTCGCAGTAGAGGAGGCAAGTGAATTACCAAATTTTGAAGGAGAATAATCCACTGGAGCAGAGCACTTGTAACCGAGTTGTTTATTGTTCAACTGCTGGAACTGAGCCCAAGTTCTCATGAGTTTTTCCATACAATGCATCATTATGCAAACTACTAAATTTGTCACAACCTCAAATCACATTCCTTTCTCCTTATAGAGAATGAAAACTCATTTTCAGAGATTCTGATATACACTCGTGAGGTACTCCAAACTCAATGATAAATAAACTTAATATACCGATACATGTATAACCACTAACACCAGCAAGTAATTCTAAATCGCAATGTCATGATAAGAAACCATGTGAAGTTAATAACAATATGGCCGTGTTGCAGTACCTGAATAAACATCTAGCAAATAATATTTACGGAAGCACCAAGCCACTCAATTCATATCTGTCTGCCATGCTCTTGACAAGCCATCGACATTGTCATCTTTGATCATTGTTTTATCTGCCAGGGTCAGCCTTAATTGCACAAGTCTAAAATTTCGCTCACGCAACTGATGCAGCGATTTCCCGTCTTCTTGAAAACTACTAGCCAGATTACTTTGATATATTATGTGTCTTAACTTTAGATGGACCACTATCAGATTTGTTCATTTGATTGTGACCATATTATTAATTAAAGAGTTCCAGCTTAATTGCTTTGATAATTGGTATGTATGGTACATGGGTTGTAATTGTCATTGCAACAATCAAATAAACTATCATTGTTGTGTTACGGCAAGAACAAGAATTGAGCCCCGAGTTCGTATGCATTCTTTGAAATAAATAAACCCACACTATCCCATGTGCCGTCATTACAAAAGCTCCTAGTTTCACTTGATTTACAAAAAAGCATTATCTGATTTACAAAAAAAAAATGATTAACCCTTTTCCTTTAATTAATTATACTGTTATTTTGTTTTAAATGTGAGAGCTTAATTATATGCCTTCTCCGAAGTATTCTCATGATCTATATACCGGTATATCTATCCCTCAGTTTCGTGAGCTCGCAGGATTAGAATAGCGCCCTCAATCAACGAAAGTTTTAGCATATGTTTTTAATTTGCGAACATGCATACAGAGGTATCCCTACTTCAAAAATAATCTATCATTCAAGTTTATTATTCAAAATTGCTTTTTATTTTTAATATTATTTGCCAGGCTCCTTGTCAACAACGCCTAATTGCAATTTGTTTAATATGTAATCTTGTGTGTCGTTGATCCGCGACTCACTGCAGTAGCAGTGACAAAGTCACGGGCCGATGCCTTCAGGAAAACCTGTGTGAATCTAAACCCATTATGCTAATGTAAATATCCGCTGTGCACCAACATGTACTTAAAATTGAGCATGCGCAGTGAGATGAGTCCGTAGCAACCTCGTATCACTAAAGATTTTCAGGAATCGCGGTTAGACACACACAGAGAGGACAACATGGTGAGTTGACTCGCGTCTGTCGTATTTTTGATATTTTGATGTTCTGGGAGTTATTCAACTCGTCTAGAACGGCAGCTGTATGATTGATTTGCGAATGGCTCGATAATGTGTTTTAGTACACTGGACGTTCAAAATTAAATGGCGTGTGATGTGGGAGTTGGTGTTGATTCCACTGTACTTTGGAAAGGACTACACTCTGTTACCTCATTCATTTTAAACCATCTTCGTTGAGCCTGACTGTGGCTGTGCAGGACTACCAGAGACTGAATATGAACATGACAATGACATTAACGCATACTCGCGCCGTCGGAAATTGTCCCTCGGCTCATATTGAATTAAATACAAAATGACATGACACGTCGGGTGGCATTTCAAATAGTCTGTTGTGGTATGGTTCGCGTCATGTTTCATTCTCGCCCTAAGTTGCCCGCCCGCCTTCAACATCCATGATAATCTATACATGTGTTTTTATTTTATCTTAGACGTCAGCCGAAGTCGAAAATACCTTAAAACGGATACAGGGGCATAAAGGTGTACTTGGACTGATTGTTGTCAACCCGGAAGGTCAGTGCATTACCCAATACATCATCATTTTAATTAATTGCAGTGTATGTTACCGGATGGTGAATGTTTATAACACCTGTCCATTCGATCGTTTTTTTCTCTCGATGTTGCAAAGTAGAGAAATACGTGTTCGGCGAAATAAGTGTACTCAGCAATAATTTGAGTTAGCTGATCAAAGGCAATAACTATCGTCAAAACAGTTTTTACTTGTCCGATGTTTTCAAATCCCCGGTTCCAAAAAAAAAAAAACGGGAAAAAACGCCGCTTCTCGGCACCGGACATCGGGGAAACATAGAATTTCGTCGTAGCTCATTGCATTGTTGGTATTATTAGAACGATCAGTTCGTAGCCTGAGGTTGTTATTTCTGCAACGGAGGTAAAAATAGACCTCAGTGTTTCTGACGTTCAGTCTCGCCACTTGTCAAACAAGACTCGCTATAGTTACCTGACATGGACATCAGTAACCCCCCCCCCCTCTCTTCGTTCATTCAAGTTGAATGGTAATCTCAAAATTGAATGTAAACAATAACAGGTGAGGGCATTGTCGTATAATTAGGATTATTCTATTGTCTACGATGGATTTGGGTCCAGCATCGCCTTTCCTTTATCGTGACAACAATAACTAGATGAGAGTTTCTTTGTGACGCTGACAAACACGGGTGCTGTAAAAGTGTAATTACCTTGCGCAAAAATCAGTTACTTGTCGGTCTTGTAAAACTATCGATCCTACAGGTGTTACAAACACTATGTCACGGGCTATTTACAGTGAAATACACACTAGATACACTGAAATTTACAGTGTTCATGTCTGTGACCAGACAATAGCGACCCACTTGGCGGGTTTGTAACGGCGAATGTGATACTGGTACACATTTGCGCAGTGTAAATTTCAATTCATTTACATGTAAGCAAAGAAAACAGAAGAGTACTATAAAAACGTATTTCGTCGTGTCACTGCGAGCCCGAGTGTTTTTGTTTTTTTTGTGGAACTGTCGTTAGTTTCAAACTTCAGTTTTTAAATTAGCATTGTTGTCATGACGGGGCGCAGTTCTTTTTCCCGTCATTATGTCAAATTCGAGATTCCATATTATTATTATTATTATTATTATTATTATTATTATTATTATTATTATTATTATTATTATTATTATTATTATTATTATTATTATTATACATTTATTGTCGTAGTTCAAAGAAGTTAATTTTCCCACTGTATATCAAGTAGCCGAGAATAAATGCCTGTCTTCCCGTGTTTGTTCATGTTTCATGTCAACTTTGCGATATTTGCTAAGCCAACTTTCACACTAACCGTATATCATTATACAAAAATGAACCGTTTAAACTCGTTCTTATGTGGACAAAAAGTATGGCGATTGACACCGTGTGTGCGGTAACCCCCAAACAAAGCGAACAAGGTGATAAATACGATGTTTGGTTCATCTCACTTCCCTTGGTAAAGTTGTGGCATGTTACGCCCGACCCGTTATTGTGATTAGTTCAGGCACTGCAAGGGCGAAGCAATGCGCAGACCACACACAAATAGACTCCATATTCTTGTATTCTATTTCTGTGTTGCCCACGTTTAAAAAAAAAATCGACCGTTTCAGAGAGTTTTACACATTTCCAATGCATTCCTGTTGTGTTCAGGTGAAGCGTTCACGTATGCCGCTTCACCGGACGTTACTTAGCAACTAAGTGACCATGTTGACTGTGTTTGAAAGTCACCCAAGAGGTGACCCTATTAGGCTGTTTTTCAATGCTTTATTGATGTCTTTTCTTATGGTTTATTTATGCAATGCTTGTTGCTGTGTCTCGACTATTCTGTATTGCAGTCACGAATCAACGCTTTAATTCTGAAGCTTCGCTCAGAATCAACAAACGAATTAACATTATATTCACAATTGTATATTGGCACATGTATACATTACGTCTGCTGACTCTCTTCTACTCATTTATGTGTGCGGATTTGTTGTGCCTTTTTTCATCTACAGTCAAGAGGATTTGGGACGTTCCTAATTTGTTATAGAAAAACAACTGCTCTGTTATGTAAGCTTTCTTGACTGCAATTAAGTCTTCGGACATTCATTTGAAAACACGAGTCCGAGTCGCTCGCCAGAGTGCGTCAACTTGAATCGACCTAACCTCAACAAATCACGGAGTTGGTAACTAAGTAACTGTTCCACAGTAAATCGATGCTATTAATTACCGTGTGTTTTCCCTTCTTTTTGTAGGCATAATTTTACGGACAACTCTGGACAATTCAACAACTTTACAACTAGCCAACTCGATACAACAAATTACGGCTCTGGCAAAGAGTGTAGTCAGAGACGTTGACCCACAAAATGATTTGACGTTTCTCAGAATAAGATCGAAAAAGAACGAAATCATGGTAGCACCAGGTTAGTTTGTACACTTACTCAATGCTTGATCAGAGTGACGTTTTGTTGTATACATGACAATTTTACTGTAAAAAGAGTTCCAGCATGAATAAACCCTTTTTTATTAGTCCGCGCCCCCTTGTGACGGACTGCTTCTGTGACGTAAATGGTCATTCACAGCGTCGACGTCATTTTGATTTGTAGTCTTCCGCCAATAAAAAAATACTTATTTTAAACACAGTCACTCAGAGGGACTGTGTTTTAAATAACGAATAACTGCAACAGTTTTCGGATTGGTCAACCGTGCTTTCATCCACGTACGTCATTTTGACGTCTCAGAAGAAATTTGACGCTAGAGGGCGTAACGTTTAGGAAATCTCAGCCCAGGGCACAGTTACGATTGCTAATACACTGTTTGTTTTATCTACAGAGGATGGTTATCTATTAGTCGTTATCCAAAATCCATCGGAGTAGTATGCGGGCGTGACTTCATAATGAACAACCGAGAGAGGTATCCATCCGGGCATTACTGCGAACACGTGACTGGTGCAATTTACTGTATTTAACATTGACCTGTACAAGTAGTCATTCAATCTCAAAAATTACGAGTGATACTGGTTATAAGTTATCTTTTCGTCATTTGGAAGCAAAGGTATTCAGGCAAAGTTTGTTACGGACGCATGCGCACACGTCATGTGAACTACAGTAATATTGGTAGATGGCGTGTACTTCTACATAACTTGAAAATTATGAATTATCTGTGGCAGCCCCGAATTTAGTGCATATTATTACTGTAAAATTGGTTATGTATGATGTTTATGAAAGATATTTGTACGTTTTTTTTCCAGATGGCGTGAATTATGTTCATCCCACAAACAAAATTGACGATCCTAATACCGACAACACGCACATGAAGTCATGTCACATGACCTATTTTTATGTAAATACTAGTCTATGGATTTTTTGGTCCATTTATATTTATTTAGTATTGTCAAAGATTACAAATATAATGATCAAATGCTATACGGATATGATAACAATGTTCAATTCGAAAACATCTCATTGTTTTAAAAGGTGGTGGTCAAATTATGCGCTAACAGTGCATTGTGTGCGGTATACACGTCAGAGATCACGCATGCGCATGGAGTGTTGCTACGACCACCATATTTTAATTACACCCAGTTGTCCATATTTCAAATCGGATATACATGATCATTTCGTTTGAGGCAAACTCAACTCCTCCACAGCCATCTTGTCTCAGGCTTTCTCCAAATAACTTAATATCACTGTATTACCATTGTTTAAAGTAAACTTTTGTCATTTTACGCAAAATAAAACTTCATAAAAAATGTGTTCATCATCTTTTTTTTAACAATTTCAATTATGATCAAGATCTGTTAGCAATGCAACGTGTTCAATTTGGCAAATCATCGAAAACATAATTTTAAGGAAAACATGAATTCCTACGCACGACAGTACTCCCACAATGCATCGCACATGTCCAAATTCTATCAAGGTAGGACCTCAACGTTTGCAACCTCCCATTTTAAAATTGGTGGCATGAAAAAAAAGTTTGGAAAATTTACGATTGACCAGTTTTTCCTCAAAAGATGCATTTGTCAGTTTTGTCACTTGCATAGTTATATTTCTCATAACAACATGAAGATGCATTATGAGAATTGAATGCGTCAATAAAATTGAAATAACCAGATATCTATACAAATACATTTCTCCCAAGGTTGCCATCAACTGCATCAGAGCTATCACTATTGTATTGCCATTCCTTTCAATGCTGTAGAAATTTACCTGCAGTTAATTCTGAACCCAATCAGCAGTGCAAGTTATATATATATATATATATATATATATATATATATATATATAGCGATTATAGCGATATTATCGATATGGAGGATTATGACCTTTGTACACTGTATAAAGTGCAATTTAATATCTTTAGTTTGATTTCTCTGTATCATATTCATTTCATTTATTTTCATTTGACATTACAGGGTACTTCTGTAGTTAATAAACCATAGTCAATGTTTTGCAATTTTCACCAAGTTGAATATGCATTCTGTAGTGATTATTTTTTGGCACAGAGCTGCACTCTCCCTTGCAGACTCCTATGACCTGACCAAGGAAGCCACAGTGAGCAACAACCAGTGGGGCATTCCCTGGCAACTAACTAACTTAGTGATAAAAGACCCATAGTCTCTACTGTGCACGAATGTGGGTGTGGGTGTGGTACAATGTTTACCAGAGTCTTATCTAGAGCACTGTTGCAGACCTCAATTCCTTCTATAGGGAATGTGTGCAGACATTCACACAGAGTATTACCGGGTGTATATCAACATATTTAGTGACACCTTTAAAAAAATACACACGTACAATGTACACTGCAGCACTATTGCGGATTGACATTCAACCAATGTGTTATTAAAGTCATCGGCTTCGAGATCTAACATTCTAAATAACCATGTATGGTCATGTGACATGTTCGGTGCTTTATTGAAGACATTGGGCTCATTATCTGATCAACATTTAATGATCATACGTGGTCACGTGACCTTAAAAATGCATATCACATCTGGAACACTATTTCAAGTACAATGTATATAAACATTGTAATGATCATTAGAATGATCTGGACGGGTTATTTTTTGAGAAGGTTAAGACAGATTGTCATTTTCCACATACATTGACCATTCCATTAAACAACTTATTAAGACTTCACTTTATAACGCAACTCAATTTCTCATCCAGTGGAACTTACAAATACATGTACATATATATCATTTCATTTAATGAAGTAAAAGCTGGACTGTGTACAGCAGATTTGCATACCTTAACTTCTGGCACCATGAGGATAAATATGATGCAATACAGAGAAGAATTATCCATATATGGACATTGTATGACATCATTATTGTACAATTACAGACAATAACAGATTTCTCTATTACGTTAAACTTGACCAGAATCTGCATAATGTTGCAAATGTGAATTTGATATCGAATTACACATTGTAAATTTCAGCAAAGACCAAGCTAAAATATGTGGCAGCAATGACAACAACAGCATTTCACATCAGAGCTGCACCACAATATGGCACTGTGGTAGAATTCACTAATGTTACATCGTCTGAATCTCAGTTTGTAGCTGAATAAATGGACCTTGGCAAAGATGCCAATGTTATACTTGTATGTAATGATACATAACGATTTTTTTTTTTTTAAATCGAGTCACATTATCTTAATGTTTATTTTATCACGTTTGATAAATATCTACACAATATTCAACAACTTGAGAAATTAATAGAACATCAGGTTATCAATAAATATTCAGATTTTCTCGCTATTGTTCCATTTCATCATCTTCACTACTACAGCTGCTAAAATCATCTGCATCCATGGTAACTTCATCATCTTCTTCTTCATCCTCTTCTTCACCTGGTCCAAGTTCTTTTAGAAGTTCTTCTATGTGTTTCAGCATTTCATCGTCATCACATTGCACCTTAGAAAAAAGCTGTCCAAAGATACTGTTATTAGAGTCGTGTTCATCTGCATTTTCAAATTAAAAATTTTAAGCCATATATTAAGTCATATCTTATGAATTAGGCAAGGACGCATAACCAAATTGAACACAAACCATGCATGGCACAGTCCTCGTTAGTTATCAAATTTAAGATATATAGTTTTGTTTATAGTAATATAGCTGGAATATAACCATGTCAGGAATATGATTATGATTGTTTAACATTAAAAGGATTGACATTTGTATCTGTTCATCAAACGAGTATTGAGAGATATTGCTCTGGAACAGCATTATTTAAAACAAAATCAGCCATTTTGAATACATCTATATATCTATAACATGACGTATAATGAATATATAAAATTTAAACATAATTAGTCTGGACGCACGCACGCACGCACGCACGCACGCACACACGCACACATCGCACAGAGGTCAATCCATAAGTTCCTGTTTTTGGACTACATGAGAACGGGGACTTATAATAGTGCCTTAATGAATATTTATACTTTATATAAGGTTGATGCAGATCAAAAAGGTACAAACAAAATTACCAAATGCTTTTCAATAGGAATCCTTCTCCCATTTATAAAGTTAAAAAGCAAAACAAAAATTCTACAACGTATATACCACTGTGCTTTTCAATCGAATATCGTACTCAGCAGACACATTCACATCAAACTCACTAAATTCAATTTCCCTAAGCAAGAAAAAAAGTGAATATGTAAACAAATTTACCGTGTGTGCGCTTTGTAAATAAAATCTTGCTGCTTTTTTGTGTTCATCTGTTGTTAGGAGATAATTTGACCAGCCTATGAGATACCACACTATCACAACCTCGTCATCCTCTTCTAAGAGATTTTCCAAAACATCTATTGATTTCTAAATGAACAAAAGAAAAATGTGTTAAACTTGACATGATGGAGAATGATGGATGTATAGATATATTGCTTTGATAACATGGTAACTTTGCTATGTTGGTGGTCGGAAACAGTACTCAAAATAGGAATTATGAGTGCCGGCAGAAACACTTAGCCAACACATTTACTCAATTAGTAGCATATGCATTTATGTAAATTACAGAGGTATTTCTACTGTCAAATTAAAAAAATATCCTAATGATTCAGTATATATTGAATGCAATTTGGAGATTAACATGCGCTTCTCCTGGAGATGTACGCTTATTAATAAAATATGTTTAATATTGTATTGTTTTATACAAGGATCATGCAAGGCGAGTCTGGATACACAAAGTCTGGATTCTACTTACTTCAAACATCTGTAACTCAATAAGTAATTTAGCTGTGGTAATTCTACACTGGTAATCTAAAGGACAAGGTTCTAGCGCATCAATCCCATCAGCATCCAACTGAAATTGCTGCCACTGGGGTAGCCAGAGTGATAAGCTTTTGTTCAGAACATCTTTGGCTTCCTGAAAAAAAAAATGTACAGCCATACTTTTTATAAAAGAAGTGGCTGATTGTCTTTATTCAATCTACAATGGTGACCAAACCATGTGCCTAATCATGTTGAGTGTTACCTTTGGCCACAAAATAATACAAACTAAATTTCAGATCACTCAAATTAACAACTGGTTTTAGCAAAGATTAATCAATTTCCATTCATTGGTTTTTTCAAACAAACTGATGTAACATATGGAAAAAAAGAATCTTAATGATAACATCAGGGTTTGAGCCCAGTAGGATTGTAACTTTAAATAAACCCACCTGTAAATTATTTTTACTCAAATGATAACTTGAAAGTAGTTGAAGTGCTTCAGCATTATTTGAATTATATTCAATTGCTTTGTCTAAACTGCTTTTACATCTGTCTTCAGCATCCGCCTCAAAGCTGGAAAAAAAATACAGTGATCACTATCATTGTTCAATTAATAGATGGATTATAATTCTGATTGTAAATCAAAAATTAGATATAAATCAATAATATGTCAAGATTTGGTTTACCAGGAGTCTGTGAGATAGATTTCAGCAATTGAACAATATGCTTTTGAGATATCACGGTCTGTTGCTGACATGTCCTCATCTGGACAAGCGCAGGCACCTTCAATCTAAAATAAATCAACAAACAACAATTTTTTATGTTTATGTAATTAAGTTTTACATCATTATCTATAACCATTCGCTAGGAACCACTTAAATTTTGTGAGACACAATTTGGCGAATTTTTCGTTGTGATGAATTTGTCTCTGGGGAAATAAACTAGCAGCCTGTTATCAATACACATTTCAATTAAAGAACTGAAGATATCATCAGAAAATGAACAATATGTATAGTATCATAACAATCGGACTTTTTATAACTATTTATCAAAAATATTAATTAAAATTAGATAATTGAAGAACAAAATCATCACGAAATGAACAAATCTGAGATACATGTAGGTCTACCTGTAGTACCTATGTAGTATACATAATATCAAAGCAATTAGACTTGCGGTTTTTAACAAGAAGTTGAAAATATCACTTTTTACCCAAAATGACAAAAATATTCATGAAAATTAGAGAATTAAAGATATCATCATCAAATGAACAAATCTGAGAGAGGTCCACATGTAGTACCTTGATATGTAATATCAAAGTAATTGGACTTTTGATTTTTAACAAGAAGTCGAAAATATAACTTTTTACCAAAAATGACAAAAATATTCATCAAAATTAGAGAATTAAAGATATCATCACAAAATGAACAAATCTGAGAGAGGTCCACATGTAGTACTTACATATGTAATATCTAAGCAATCTGACTTGCGGTTTTTAACAAGAAGTCAAAAATACCACTTTTTATCAAAAATGACAAAAATATTCATCAAAATTAGAGAATTAAAGATATCATCACAAAATGAACAAATCTGAGAGAGGTCCACCCAAGGTACCTACATACCAAGTATCAAAGCATTTGGGCTAGCGGTTTTCAAGAAGAAGTCAATAATAGCATTTTTGACAAAAATATTCGCTATAAATATGACAATTGAACATATCCACACGAAATGAACAAATCTGAAAGAGAACCACCCAAGGTACCTCCGTAGAAAGTTTCACAGCTATACAGTTTGTGGTTTTCAAGAAGAAGTCGAAAATGTCGACGAACAATCAGTAATACTATAAGCTCCACTCGACTTCATCGACAGCGGAGCTAAAAATAGAGTGACACAACATTGCCAAAATGTTGTCCTCACAAATGCCAGAAAATCTTGAAATTACATAAATTTCCTGAAGTGAAATTTAAATGGTTTATAGTATATTGCAATATACTACATGTAGTACGTAAATATCTTTATCACATCTAATTTCACCAATGCTAGCTGCACACATATTACACATAGGTCAGGAAATTCAAAATCGTGCTCAAATTAGCAAATACTAATTTTCCGGCAAAATGTGTTGAATATTGTTTAATTAATCAAAGGAAAAACTAAAAAAACAGCGGGCAGAATTGAATTATGTTAAAATTGATAACACAAACAGTGCCAGTGAATCAATATCCATTTGCATTTGTTCACTCGAGCGAGTGTTACTACGTCTTATTCAGAAAAAAGGTACACTATGATGTAAAATCAGTTAATTACAAGAGTTTTTTTTCAATGCCAAAGTAATGAAATGTCTATTTTCATTTTACTTTTACTGCATCTAGAACACTTTGTTACATTGATTTTGTTTCCCTCATGGGTGCTATTAGGGAGAGCATAGGCATATTATGACCCACATGTGTCATTTTGTCTTTTATTAGTATTTCATATACCGGTAATCAAAAAATAGAAAACACATTTATACCATATTTGTCCAATTAAACCAAAAACCTCATTTGTTAACTACTGAATCATAAAAATATTACTTATTTTGGACATAGAAATACCTCTAAATAAGAACTTTAACAAACTTACTTTTTGTCCCTGATTCTCTTTTTCTTTTCCTTTCAGCATTAACTCAATTCCTTTCTGGAAACATTCCACAGCCTGTTGACCTTCACATATCTGCCCTAGATACATGTACTTGGAATGTCCTTCATTGGGTTGAACCGCTACTGCCCGTCCAAAGCAGTGTGTACTGGTTAAAGAAACTCACTCAGGGCAGTTAGACAGCAGAATTCAAAATTTGCACTACTGAACATGATACTACATCTATATGCAATGCACTCTGGGAGATAAATTCCCCCTGTATTGTAATTAAAAACTTTTGAGTTGACTTTTTTTCATTTTGAGTCTCCGAGCAAAATTTAAAGATATAAAGAAACAAGCCATGCATAGCACAGTCCCCGTTAGTTATCAAATTTAAGATATATAGTTTTGTTTATAGTAATATAGCTGGAACATAACCATGTCAGGAATATGATTTTTTAACATAACATTTTTTAATATAGCTGGAATATAACCATGTCAGGAATATGATTTTTTAACATTAAAATGATTGACATTTGTATCTGATCGTCAAAAAAGTACTTGTCCATATTGAGAGATATTGCTCTGGAACAGCATTCAAAATCAGCCATTTTGAATACATGTATATATATAACATGATGTATAACGAATATATAAAATTTGAATATAATCAGTCAAAGCATTTAAAAGATATGGCTCTAGAAGCCCAATCATTAAAACAAAATGGCCGCCAGACCGACATTTTGAATCCGATCTGAAAAATAAATGATGTGCATCAGGAA